CAAAGTATGCTTGCAGTTATTTCTTCTAGTTCTTTCAAAGCAGTTCTTTCTGCGTTTCCGCTCACATATTTTTAAATCTGTTTCATTGAGGTTCCAAATAATGGCTCATTGGCTTAGATATAACACCTAGAAGCATATATTCTTATGCACACATGCAAAGTAAGTTGCAGCTGTTATTTCTATGAAGTTGTGTTGTCTTTGCTATTCTGTTACTAATAAAATAGTTTTTTTCACTGCTTGTCCTATTTTGGCACAATCCCTAAATTGAACTCGAGTAGTTTTACTGAGGGCACCCATCTCACATGAAATTGAACTATGTCAAACATATTCTACCTGCCTTCCTGATATAAATTACAATAAATTTGATATGGTAATTAATACTGAGACACTAATTTGGGCAAAAATCACTAATGACTTGTTTAAGAATTGAATCTTAAAGCTGAGGACTTGCAACTCGACTTGGACTTGTCTGTTTTGACTCGGGACTTGACTTGGGACTTGTCTGTCTTGACTCGGGACTTGAATGCAAAGACTCGAGACTTACTTGTGACTTGCAAAACAATGACTTGGTCCCACCTCTGCTAATGACTATTAATTCTCAATTGTTTTTTTTAATAACTGGTTAAAAACATTATTTTATGAATGAATGGTATATATATGTGCATGACTCTATTTCATATTATTTTATGTAAAAAATGAATAAATGGTGAGTATAATTTTAAGTGATTGGCCTATATAAAAGTAAACAGGCCTTAAAAAGCAAGGAGTCTGCTTGACTATCATATTGTCCTGCAGAGCTATTGTACTGAATATGGCCCCTTTTCTGGGTTATAGTCGGGTAAATTAATAAAGCTTCTATAAAATAAAGATACAATGGTGATAAAACATTAAAAATAATGAAGCTTCATCCAAAGTTATGTGATGTCATCACATTGATTTCTGTCAATAAATGGGGTTTCTTTTGATTTTCTCAGTAAATTATCTTAATAAATCTTGATCTTAAATGCATTTCATTTCTATTCATAGATCTGTTCATGTGGTCTCAAGCCACAAAGAGTCTAACAAACACACCATTAACATTAGGAGCCGATGTGAATATAATCTGTGATTTTAGTATAGATGAGATTAACTGGTACAAACTGAAGATACCGGATCCTTCAGTGTTGATCTTACGCACTTATGATAGCATATATACTAATTAAAATTAATTATTTATTGATAAATTAAAGGCAGAGTAAGTGATTTTTCAAAAACACTTTAAAAACTGATTCGGGCCGAATCGCAAAACAAACTTGTAGCCAATCAGCAATAAGGGGCGTGTCTACTCGTGAAGTGGAGGAGAGCGCGTTCAGTGCATGGGACGGACATTAGCCGAGCCGAGCGACAGAAAGATGGAGATGGAGGATAAAAACAAACAAGGAAAACGTCTGCGGAACGATAAGGCAAAAAGTAGGACCCGTGTAAATATCGGAACCCTTCCTAGAGCTGGCCTTCCGGCCAAACTGAGCTATCGGGGGAGAAGAGCCTTGGTGAGAGAGGTAAAGAAGAACCCAAAGATCACTGTGGCTGAGCTCCAGAGATGCAGTCGGGAGATGGGAGAAAGTTGTAGAAAGTCAACCATCTCTGCAGCCCTCCACCAGTCGGGGCTTTATGGCAGAG